AGAGAGAGAGAGAGAGAGAGAGAGAGAGAGAGAGAGAGAGAGAGAGAGAGGGGGGGGGGGGAGAGAGGGAGAGTGAGAGGAATGCAAGAAGGGGAGGAAGACTGACCTTCGCCAACAAACTCCAAGGACGTCAAAGGAGGCGGCGGGTCGCAGCAGATGAAGAATGAACTCCAACGCGGTGAATTGCAGCAGCGGACGAATTCTTAGCGCCTCCCTGCTGAAGGGCATCTCAGGAAGATGCATCCCCCGCAGAAGGGCAAATCAGACAGGCAACAGGGGAAATGGGACAGGCAGTCCGGTAGGGGCATTCCGGAAAGTTGCGCCCCTCACTGACAGGGGCCTGCACAAAAGTTCAGAGGGCCCAGGGGCAAATCCCAGGGTAAGTCGGTTGTTGGAGGGGCAAATCACAAATAAACGGAAATTGCAGGGGCATTTTGAAAATTTTCCCTTATTATTATTATCATTATTATAATATAATATTGATTTTTATTATTATCATTATTATAATATAATATTGATAATTATAGCACACGCGGCACGTGTCACGTACCCAATTATTGACGACGTTCCCAACGATGTTGGCCCAGACCGCAGGCTTTCGTAGTAGGACGGACATAGGGAGGAGCCTTGTTGATGGTGATGCCTTTCCGGCCTTCATCGGGCCCGGTCCCGCTGCAGGCAAAGGCAAGTCCCCTCCTTTACCCCCCCCGCGCCCCGCTCTTCCTGGCACTCCTGACCCTTCAGTCGTCCGCGGATAACCACCACCCGTGATGTAGGCCAACTCCGCAGGATCGAGGTTGGGGTGCTGCCGGGGGTCGGCGGTGACGGACGTCAACCACAGGGGTAGCCAAAGCAAGCCTATGAGTCCAAATGCAATGAATGGGCCAGTGCTGTTCCCAAATACACGCATTAAAAGGGGCGCTGATAGAAGGCCAACCATATTTCCCAAGGTAAAGCCCGCCATGGCAATTCCCACGGCCCTTGCGCGCTCAGCTGCAGGCATCCATCTGTGGCAGGAAGCATGACAGCCAACAGCCAGCCCCATACACAGGAGCGCTCGTGAATCGCTGATATACCCAAAGGGATACAAATGTAATTTTACAATTTATAACAATAATAATATGCATATGATATCATATCATACGATTCATACCCACATTTTGATCATAATATGGATAAGGATATGATATCATATGATATCATATGATATCATATGTATACACATTTGGATGATCAGATGGATATGATATGGATACGATATCCACCTTTGGATCACAATATCGACACCATGTGATATGATATCCGCATTTGGATCACAATATGGATATGATATGATCCACATTTGGATCATAAGTAGGATAGGATAGGATATAGGATAGGATAAGACAGAATAGGATAAGATAGGATAGGATAGGATAGCCTAGAATAGGATAGGATAGGATAGCCTAGAATAGGGCAAGGATAGGATAGGATAGCATAGGAAAGGATTGGATAGGATAGGATAGGATAGGATAGGGTAGGGTAGGATATACCATAGGTCAGCATATACGATAGGATAAGATAGGATATAGGATAGGATAGGATAGGATAGGATAGGATAGGATAGGATAGGATAGGATAGGATAGGATACAGGATAGGATAGGATAGGATAGGATAGGATACAGGATAGGATACAGGATAGGACAGGATGGGACAGGATGGGATAGGATGGGATAGGATGGGATAGTGTAGGATAGGATACAGGATAGGACAGGACATCAGCATAAATATGGACACAATAAGATGATGAAATTATGATCAAGACCTGACATGACAGATGGAAAGATTTAAAGGAAAAAAATTTGAGAGGAGAAGAGAGCTTGAGGAATCTAAAATGCAAGAAACAGTTCTCAACACATTTTGTTGGCATATTCTTGGAGAAATAAATAAAAATAACAATGATAAAAACAAATATAGAAGGTGCACGCACAAGAATTACATTCCTCAGAAAAGTACACAATTATCCTAAAAAAACAACAACAACAAGGTTTGACTAACCCATTTGGACACCCCCTAACCCCTCCCCGTCCAACCCCCCCCCCCCCCCCCCACACCCCCTAACCCCTCCCC